ATGGTGGGTTGGGACCGCGGGAGGAGGGCCCCCCCTTTCCTCCCATTACACTTTCACATCATCTCTGTTTGCGCTGGCCCACCCTCCGCCAGCTTGGCCAGGCAGGGGTCAGCACCCAGGGTCTGTCCCCTGGGATGGGACCCTTCCCCTCCCCTCTCCTCCCCGCTGACTGGTCCGCTGGGCCACCCCAGCGAACCAGGAGGGTCTCGGCACTGGAGACCCTTCCCTGTGTGGTTGTAGCACTGCAGATCCCAAAGGGAGGTTTTATTTGGGAGCAGTGCTCTGGGCTCTGCCTGGACAGAGAAGAGCTCTGTGGCTTCTGCTGCCAGCGGCCACCGTGGCTCTTGCTTTCCTGTGCTTTCCCCAGATTGTCTTGGCTCCAGATTTTTGTTTTTAGCTTCGCTCAGCCCTTTCTGCTGTGGGTTCCCCCTCTCCTGGGAGCCGCAGGACCACGGTTCAGCCGGAGGAATGTGCAGCTCTGCACAGCTGCTGGGAGCAGATAGGGTTGGTGGTGGGGTTGCTTTTTTTTTTTTTTTTTTTTAACCCAAAGAGAAATACAAGAGCCTCTTTCTCTGGGAGACTGCGAAATTCCTCCCCATAGCCGCTGTTCTCGGACCACCCTCTCCCTGTTATTTTCTTTTCATCCTTTACTTTGGCGTGGGTTTCCTTTCTGCTAGAAGTCCTGCGGGAGGTGGAGATGAGCTGCCCTTTCTGTAGAGAACAACTTCTCTCTTCGGACCTCCTCCTCCTCCTCCATCCCCCGGGGAGCTGGGTGCTGCCAGGGTGCCCTCCCAGGGCCTTTGCTGCAGCTCGCTGAGCTCTGGTGTGACCCACTGGGCTTCTTAATGAATTCACACTCCCAGCAGGTACCCTTGGGAGGAGAGCGGGGCTGGGCTGGCTCCCATGCTGGAGGCTTTGCGATGAGTTTGTAGCTCCATTAGGCTCCCGTGGCACGGTGTTGCTCAGGGGTGTTGCAGGCAACAGCCGGAGCGGGGCAGGGGTCTCTGCTGCTCACCCGATTGCGGACGTGGGGTGCGCACATGGTGCATCTCCATCTCCTCCCTGTTTTGGGTTCACTGGTGCGGTACAGCCCTGCCTGTGGAGGACGGCGGGACCGGCACCGCAGCCTGGTCCCTGTTGGGCTGTTGCTGCTCTGCGGAGGCAGTGGCCCTGCCTCGGGGTGGGGCGTCCCCTGCCTCCTACCTGCTGCCCGATGGCTCTCCAGGAGCTGGCCGGCCAAGCGCCCTGCCCTGGGGAGGGGTGGCAGGGCTGGGAGCAGCGGGTGGCCTTAAAGTGCCCGAAGGGTGGCAAAGGGGGGTCTCCCCCGCTCCCTTCTCCAGCTTGGGCTCACTCTGGGGCTTGGTGAAAAGCACCATGGTGGCCGTTACATCGCGCGGGCGCTTTCCGGTCCCTGTCCGCTGCCAGGGGCGACTCCGATGTCCCTTATGGTTACGGCCTCCGCAGGTCGGGACACTGAGCTGGGGTGAGGCGCTCCAAAATGGCAGAGCCGGGAGGTGACGTCTCTTAATCCAAATACCAGCAGTGGCTCTGTGTGCCAGATCTCACCCCGGGCGGCTCAGCTTGGCTCCTGGGTGTCATTGCTGGCCGGGCGGTGAGGACACACAGATACCTCTCAGCGCGTCCTGCCAAGATTTTTTTTTGGATGTGCCAAACTATTCTCTTGATATTTGCAGAAGGAGTTTGACTGTGTTTATATTACATTGTTATTTTGGGGAGAGTTGCTCTCCCTTACCTTATTTTTCCCTGTTTTGATTTGGGTTTTTTTTTTCCACGTTGCTTGGTATCCAGAGACCCTCCAAAGCAGGGGAAAAGCTCTAAACATCCTTCCAGCTGCCCTGGGAAAGGCTCTAAAAGTCCTTCCAGCTGCCCTGGGAAGGGCTTCGGTGCCAGGAGTGGTTTTCCTGATGTATTGGCACAGGGAGAGAACTGGGCGCAGTGGAGAGGCAGAGCGGGGACAGCATCTTCCCTCTGTGGCAGCCGGGACTGTCGCAGCTCTCCAGGACTCGCTCGGCCAAGTAATGACTCGGAAGCTTGAAATTCAGAAAAGCTAAGGGGTGCCGGGAGAGCATAGCGCTGGGGATGCCCAGCTCTGGTGGGCTGGTTGCCCTAAACTGTGGGAAGCCCAGGAAGTCACAGAGACAGGCATGGTGTGAAATGTGGGATACCCACAAAATTCAGGTGACCCTGGGGTAAATAACATGCGACGCAGAGTGGAAGGGGTTTCAAGCAGAGGTGGATGTTGGCAGCCAGGATTTGTGCCGTTCCCTGTTGCTGCCAGCCTTCGGGGCTCAGGAGGGCTTCAGGGGAGAAAGCCCTGAGGTGGCCTCCAGCCCTTTGTGGGACACCAAAGTGAACGTCTTCTGGCCGATGTGATAGCGCTCAGGGTCTGAGCAGCTGGGCTTTGGCCTCGGCAACGCCGTGTGCGCTCTCATGGTTTAAACATGGTAACGAACCAAAGCAGAAACAGAAGCTTTGGACCTGTCCTAGAATGATGCAGAGAGACAGTGAGGGTCCGCATCCTCCTGCCTCCTCCATACCTCACTGCCTGGAGGCTTTGCTTTCCCTGGGGAGTTTTCTGGGGACGTTTCTCCTCCCATTGATACATGGAGAGTTGTCCCATGATCTCCCTGGCATTGCTCAGCCCATGGGTCACCGCTGGCCATGCAGCACAGGTGAATGTTAGGAAGAGAGCTGGGGGCGCATGACATTTGGCACCGAGGGCTGGGACAGGGTCCAGGGGCAGGAGGGACAGCGGTGGCATCCCCACCCTGCAGCATCCCATGGCATCTGCCTCCCTGGGGCGGAAGGGTTTGAGCTGGGTGGGATGCTGGACAGGGCGCCTGTGGCAGCCCCTGCATCGAGTGTTTTGGAAGCACGGCACGATGTTGGCTTGAAGTTTACAGGCCATTTCAGAGCGTCTCTTTGGGATGTGTCGTTGCTGACCCCCTGCTGATTTCACATGTTAATTTGGCATCGTTGGTCCTGAGGCAGAGAGGGACCAACTGGGGGTGGGCTTAGCATCTCCTTAGGGCCAGCGCTGGATCTCCAGGACCTCTCGGGAAGCCTTCCTGATGCGATGGCCACCCGTACGGTTGGACCTTTTTGACTCACAGCACTGTACAGATGCTGCTGGAAGGCTCTTGGGGGCTGAGGGTCTGGGGACAGGGGGACCCATCCTACCCCTGACTGGCAGCGCAGGCTTTTAAACCTCTTCACCATGAATCCGTGTCGTGATCTCCAGGCTGATGCAGAGCATGACAGCACCCTGAGCTGGGTGGGTGCTCTTGAGCCTGCTGCTGGGCGTCCTTGTGGCTGGGGCTGCTTTCCTGCCTGGAGGAAGGCTTGTGGCTCCTCAGCAAAGCCCCCCGGGGTCAGGAGCTTGGCTTTGGGTGGTGCTGAGCCTGCATGGGGTGGGTTGTGGTGACCCAGGATCCAGGGCGCAGCAATGCTTGGTTCAGGCTTGTTCCCCATCCTTGGGAGGGGTGGGCTTGTGGAGGGGGAGGATCTGTTACCCAAGAAGCAAAACCAAGGGATTTTGATGGTTTTGTGCCTTTCTGAGGAGAAGAAAAACACAACTGCAACAGAGACAGAGGAGCAGGGCAGACCTAGGGCCTTTGCTGCAGGGTTTGGGGTACACGTGATGCTCTGGCAATGCTCACACGTGGCCTCCCTGGAGACTTTTGCTGTTCCCTCAAAACTTAAAGTGTTACTCGGTGCAAACCCCTGAGTGGCTCAGGGGTCCTGTTTGTCCCCTCTCCTCCATGCAGGACAGGCAGTCTCCCTGGGGGAGAGCAGAGAGCCCGCGTGGAGGCAGCGTGGCTTTGGGGACCCACTGAGAGGGCTCTTTGCCTGCAAGAGGTGGAGTATTCCTGCCGAGTGATTTTTGGAGGGGTGCTGGCGAAGAGGGCAGCCAGCCTGGGAGCCCCAGCTCTGCAAGGTAATTTAAAACTCCACCAAAACACCAGTACAAGAATTACAGTTATCAGTACCAGAGATGATGAGTGATATGGTCCAAGTAGTTTGCTTTAATGAGATGGGTGTAATTAATGAATCCATTCAATACCAGGCAGTTCTGCTGCAGTGGGAGATGGCAGACGTGTAAGTCAATCTGCTGTAAAGCCCATGCCGGGAAAACTCCATGGCTTTGTGGTTGCCTTGCTGGGACGGGCAGGGGTGCGGTGGCTGCCGCTGCAGAGCAGGCTGGGCATGGTGCCGTCACACTGCGTCCCCTGGCCATGCTGGATGTCTCTGAAGGGCAGCATTGGGACAGTGGCCCCAGCCCTGGGTGCGCAGCCCCTATGGCGACCTGGCTCCCTGCACCGGCTTGGGATCCCCCCGTGCTGCGGGAACCCGTCGGTGCTTCTTCACCAGCCTTAAATCCTCCTTAAAGCTGTGTGCCAGAGAGGCGCATGCACTGGCCATTGCTGAATTCTCTGTGCCCTGTCCTGGGCTCCTCTCCTCTGTTCTGTCGGGACATGACCCCACCATCGCACAGCTAATGCCGGTGACGTCCTCTGCGTGCCCGGGGAGCCGGGGGCTGGCGCGGGGACGCTGCTCGGGTTCCAGCAGCTGAATGATATCTTTCTGAACTCCAATTAGTTCCCAGGCACCAGGATAATGGCTGGGGCCCCCCGCCCAGAATAATTAATCCCGGGGAAAAT